AGGAGTCCATGTAGTTACTGCAAGCAATGCAGCACTTGTTCCTCTCTCTCTCTCTCTCTCTCTCTCTGTGCTTCATCCATTACCTAGGGACAAGCTTTGTTTGGTTCTCAGCCTGCGCTGCTCGTCGTGGAGTTGTCACAGCAACCATTATGTGCAAGCTTGACCAAAAACTAGCATCTAGCAGAATCATTACATGCGTGCCAAGTGTGTGTCACAAAAACTTCTGATACATGTTTCATCTTGCAGAGTTAATGATCAGCTGTAAGTTGGAGTGCAAGTTCCCGATAACCTCAGCTTATGTTCAACCTGGTGGTGTTTGCTGTGTGGGGGATTGTGGGTTTTGTAGTGATCTTAAATTATTGCAGGTGTACTGCATGTGGGAGACAAAAAGGTGGGATTTAGAGGATCCAAAGACGAGCAGCAGTAGATATTTGGATTCTTCATGCAAGTAGTCAATTTCTTATGTTCTGCAATGATTCCTTTCTTTCAGTTGCTGGATCTCAGTAAACTCTCCACTCTCACATGACATCCATCGAGTGAGACTCTCAGGGTTCTTCGAGAGACCAAAATGTTCGTGAATTCAGATCAGAAAAAGACTCTCTTGCAACAGTTGTGACTTCTTCTTCTTCTTCTTCTTCTTCTTCTTTTACCTCTTTTATAACCAACCCATTGAGGATGTTCTCTAACTGGGTAACCTTTTTGTGCCATTCTATCCCATATTCAATCATAGAAAGAGAGGACCTGAAAGCTCCACATCTCCAAAAACTGCCCACATAAAATAAAAGATGAATTAAAAAGAGATTGATTGATGTAAGCAAAACTTCCAAAGAGTGCCCCCACAAAAATTATACATAAAACATGTTTTGTTCTTTATACTTGTAAATTTCATGTCTATGATCTCAAGGATCATGTCAAATGTGCCAAATGACCTACCAGATTTTACATGCTATTATTGCAATTTCTTTCATGAGCTATATCCTAAAGCATAAGGGCCCAAAACTCTTTATCTCAACTCTTCTTCTTCAACCTCAGTTCAGATCTACCTCTTGGCAATCCCAAGTCACGAGCAAAAAGCCACATTCAAACAGACAAAATCTTCTGTCCTTTAATGGACAAGTGGAAAATGTAGCTTTGAGCTTCAACTCAAAAACCCAGTTCTTGGTCACAGTTGAGAACAGTGAGATCCAATTAACTTGTTCTTTGGCATGGTTGGAAGCTATTGATGTCTTTTCCCTATCTATTGCGAAGCCATTGGAACAGAGGAGCCAGCCAACTCAGTTCTACCTGGAACAAAGACTTGGGAAGAGTGCTTCATGATACCTCCATTTCATCTCCATGATGACAACTTCTTGCTTCTGAAATCAAAATTAGACCCATATGGTTCCAAGCACACTGTTTATTTCTGTGGGTGACATGGTGTGTTAGCTTAGCGTGACTCATGGCTCAACAGGTGATGTATACCATGTAAGATCTTGGACATCAATTGATGAAAAGAAAGAAGCTATCTTTTGCAGATATGTGTATCCATCTAAAACAGTGTTCTTGGACTTGAGATCCAATTACACAGCATGGCCTTGAGACTTCCATTTGCTGTTGCTTTTTCTCCCTGCACAGTGCAGTGAAACATCAGACTGATCGAAGAACTACATGAAGCCAAAGAGAGATCAGCACTTCATGTTGGGTTCCAGTGACACTGAGGGTTTCAAACAAGCATTTATCATATTTCCTAATCATGATATTAATGCTGAAGACCAGCATTTTTCTTGTCTTTTTTCTGTCTCAGCTTTTGATCCTCATCATATTGACTTGATTACTGATCAAATCCAACTGTGTAAATCTCAGGAAGCATATCATCAGGTCAGTGTATATTATGGTTTATTATGAGAATAATGGGTGAAATGGTTACTAATTTTAGTTGAAATTTTCATACTACTATAATAATAATAAAATCGTAACATTCTAACTTATTTGGATTATTTAGATGGCTTCCGACTACCGAAGATAGGCTAGATGAATTTTTTTCTACCATTGAACTAAAAAATTATATTATTATCTATATTAAGAATATTTAAATTTTTATTTATATATTTTTAATAAAATCTAAAGTACTCTTTACCTTTCCCCTCCTCTCCCATAACTTTCTGGTATAGACAACGATCTCAAAAGTTCTATTGACTTATGTTATTTTACCTTATCTTACTGGCAAGTAAGGTATGTCTGAATATATTCCTCTATGTTAGTCTCCTTCAACTAATAGAAGACCCTCTCCATGAGAACTAACATTCAATGAATATTTGGATGTTCTACCCAAAGGAAATTATGACATTCTCTCAAGAGTTCATATTTCAAATTGTCCGTTTGAGGAATATAAACTTTATTCTATTTGGTGTAGATGAGTCTCTTCTAGACCCAAAATTATCATGCTTTGTTTTTTTTTTATCAGTTACATCATGGTTATTACTTGTGGATCATTGTACAGTCTTTCCTTGTAACTAGAAAGAAAGTCAGAATATAGCTAACTTGCTTGGTCTCCGCATTCCAATTGCATCACATTCATCAATTCCAATTTCCTGCTCAATGTATCAACTACAACATTTGCTCTTCCAAACTTGTACTCTATTGTCATATTAAATTCAACCATGAAGTCTTATTACCGTGCTTACTTTAGGGAGAGCTTCTTTTGAATTTGAAAGTAACTCAACACAATATTGTTTGTCCTTAGCACAAATCATGTTTTGAGAAGTATCGCTATACTCATAGACAACGGACTATCATTATCATCTCCTTTTCATGCATCATATATTATCACTCGATCTCGTTGAGCTTACGATTCTCGTAGGCCGTCGAGTGGCCACTCTACATAAGTACTCTAATAGAAAAGTCAAGCATATGTATGAACTTTGAAAGGCTTTCCATAGTTTAATAATTTAAGTACTGATTCTTCTAGCACAGTAGTTTTAAGGTCCGCCAAGGATGTTCCTTCTTCAGCAACTCTGTTAGTAGAGCTACACACTTTGAGTACTCAACTATGAAGCATTGATAATAGTTGATAAAACTAAGGAAGGATTATAACTCTGGAACCTTCTTTAGTGTTTACCACTCCGTCATAAATTACATCTTCAATTTATTCACCAGAATAGAACCTTTACTAATTTGATTCCCTAAGAATAAAATCTTCGTCTGCGTAAAGTAACACTTCTACCTTTTCACTAACAAAGTATTCTCCTTGAAAATCTTGAAAATTGTTCGAATGTACTTGACATGCTCCTCGAGCATTTGGCTATAAACGATGATATCGTCCAAGTAGACAATCATAAACTTATCAAGATACTTATTGAATAATTGGTTCATGAGAGTGCAGAATATGGTCAAAGTGTTGGTTAAGCCAAAAGGCATTACAAAAAATTTGAGCGCTCTATACTTGGTCACACAAGTAGTCTTCGTTTTGTCACCTTTAGCAATGCACACATGCCAATAACCCGATCGAATGTTGAGTTTAGAGAAATACTTCACATTACCTAATTGGTCGAACAAGTCCACAATAAATGGGATGTGATACTTGTTCTTCACCATTACCTTATTTAGTGCTCGATAATTGATAGATAATTGGAGGCTTCCATCTTGTTTTTTATGGAAAAGATTTAAGGCTTTACTCGTGGCTCTAGTTTGATGCAATGATCTAGGCCTTTGTGTGACAGTAGAGTTTTTGGTAACTCAAGTGGCATAACATCAGTGAACTTTTTCAAAATATCTATTATCACAGTAAGTGCTAGTCGTAGTTGCCCTGCAAGCTAATCACGTGAGTAATGACAAATGTGACATGATATACACTCTTTTTATTTATTATATATTTGATATTTTTCTCACTTTATATTATTTGTTACATATATTGTGATATTGATGGATCTGTGCAATAGGAATCGCATCGTGATGAGATCACGATAATGAGACTGATTCATCTTTAAACATATATTCTAAATAATCTCGGTTATAGGTTACTCGAGGGGAACATCGAGATAACCAGAGAAACCTATAAAAGAGTCAGCATAGTTGTAAACTCATTCAGGTCCCAAAAGACATATAAAAGAATAAATTAATTAGTTCGAAAACGAATAATTGATAAATCTCAACATCTCGCAAAGAGTGTAATTTTATAAGCAATTCGATAAACATAAGGTTTGTAAGAGAAAAAATAAGAACTTTAGAAGGCAAACAAACAGTCATAAGTTTACAAACGACTACTCACCGCGTATCATGCGCATTGGTAAGTTTTCATAAGCTTAATGTGCGAACTTATGAATCCAATTAACACTCAACATTACCCCAAACCCCTACACAACCAAGTGCCACCCAAGGGTTTTTGTGGTGCTGAGATGACTTATGTTTTTCTTTGAACCGCCGCTTGTAGAATGTATACTATGACACATGAAAACTAGGATATTTTGATATAATTTTACTCATTCTAATGAATGATCGCTCTGTAAACTATTTCTGCTCATAGTTTTTAAGTAAAAATATATAAAAATAAGATAAAATATATTATCAAATATATAAAGAAGCAAAACGAAAATGATGAATAGTCAGGTGTTATGGTTGAGCGATGATCGTTCATGATAAAATATCATATTTTATTATTATTTTTAATTATATTTTTTTTAAAATGACGGAGGTGTTATGATTGAGTGATGATCGTTCATGACAAAATATCTCATATTATTATTATTATTATTAATTATGTTATCTTTTTTTTAATTATGTTACGTCACTTTTAAAATGAATAAGAATAAAAAGAATAAAAGATTATAAGTAAGAAGTGAAAAAGATCTTATTAAAATGTAAATAACAAAAAGGATTATAAATAATAATCTTCAAAAATAGACTATAATTTTTCTAAATTACTCTCCTCGATAGATATGATGACTATGACACGTCCCATGAGTTTCCTATAATGCCCTCCTCCAGAAATGTAATGACCGATACGTCCCGCCGAATGCCATCCTAACAATACCCCATTTGTTGCATTCGTTAAAAGCCGTCCCTTTCCCCATCACCGTCATCCGTCGCCGGCCCTCCCCGTCCTCCACCCAAAGGTGATTGTTCCTTTCGATCCCCATCTCTCTCTCTCTCTCTCTCTCTCTCTCTCTCTGATCTAAAATGAGATAGAAATGTGATCGATCCTCCCTTTGTCGAAGTTTTATGATCTTTCTGAGATCCAATCCCCTCGAATTTAGAGTTTGGCCCAACATGTCTGGGCTTCTGGGGGAAGAATTGAACGGCATTTCGCCGTAACCTTATCAAAATGTATGATTTGTATTCCCGGAATCCGAGTCACGATGATCGAACGCTTCGATGACGGGGGGTTTTCTGCTTGCATTGCTTCCCATTTGCAATATTTGTCACTAGATGGCTTGATTAAGGATGTTCGTCGGATTGGCATGGCTTTTAAATCTTGGTATTATCTGTTAGATAGTGAGAATGTTGTGGATGATGCAAATTTGCAGCTGAAATATCCTAAAATAAACCAACTAATTATACATGGTTGAGACCTGTTGATCAACCATTTATACGATGCCGCTATATACTTTTTGTTATGCTATTTCCACCAGCGCTTACGAGCCAAAAAATCTATTTTTTTTCATCCAATTGTGTCATATAACCTTCAAATATCATCCTTCTTGATGCTATTTTTTATGTTCTCACAAGTATCAAGATTTTTTGTCTAATATAATGTGTTTTTATTGTAATTTGCTATTTCAGTTTGTATCAAGGTCATGGATCCCGTAAGAGGACATGGTGGCATTCATATGCTGCTAGCTGCTGAGCAAGAGTCCCAGCAGATTGTCTCTAGCGCCAGAAACTGTACTTTCTTCCTCGTTATTCTTGTTTTCTTGTTCTAGGTTCATTAACATGGTATGTTTTCCTTTATTACGTGTTGATCGAAGTTTCCTTTTGCTGTAAATGAAAATGGTAGTTCATGGGTACTTGAGTAATGTTTTCCATGTCTGAGTTCCAGTGATATGTTTGAGTGACAGCATGAATCATGCATTATGGGATATGATTTTACGAGATCGTTTTATCACATACAAACTCCTCTAAATCTTGTTCAAGAGTTGACACCAGTGTTAGAGAGTTCATGTCAGGTCAACAGTCGGTACTTTTTTTTTCTTTTCCAAATCTTATTCATGTTTTTTTATGCAGTGAAGACTGGAAGGTTGAAGCAGGCAAAGGATGAAGCTGAGAGGGAAGCTGCTGCCTATCGTACCTCTTTAGAGGAGGATTATCAAAGAAAAGTTTCCGAGGTGATGTTTTGAGATTTCTTTCTTTTCCCTTTTGAATGTAGTTGGAGTATAGGAATTGCAAAGAGTTGTCATTGCAATGCTGATCTTGCTCCTTCATAATCACACAAACTAATAGTGATAAAGTTAGAACCCCCCCACAGAGTTTTACTTGTTTTGATGGTAGTAATGTATTTAAATGAATTTTTCGCTGCTGATGTTTGCAGAGCACTGGTAGTTCTGGATGGAATGTGAAAAGGCTTGAGAAGGAAACAGAGACTAAGATCCAGAACTTGAAGAATGCTTCATCAGCTATCCATGCAGATGTAATCAACATGCTGTTGAAGCATGTCACAACAGTTCAAACCTAGCAAGTAAATGGCCCTCCACGAACACGATTCATGCTTTCTAATGCAGCACTGTGCATCAATTCTTGGATCTCGAAGTAATCGGTGGCATTTCTATTCATATTCTTTTGTAGGTGACATGATGGAATTGCTGACATGCTATAGCCTTTCCTGGGCATTTTGTCTTTAATAATGTGATTCGTGATACAAGATTTCGTTGTAATAAGCACCACCTCAGAAACATTGTATATGTTCTGATTGCTTGGTTGCTGTTTGGGGATGGATGAATTCAAATCATCTGTGGTCTTCTTTCTTGTGACAACATTGCTTTAGCAATTTATTCCTCTTTTTCATGAAAATTTCTTTTCATGCAGTTAAAGAGCTTGTTTAACTGAGCTCCTTCCGCTTGTTTCACCATCTTACTTTGAGAATGAGATTTCATGTTACTTCACGTGCCTCCGATACTTTTGATTTCCTCTTCAAGCGGATCAATTCGTCTATAAACACAGATCACTAAATATTTTCAATCGTCATAGATTACTTGAGAGAGACATCGAGATAACCGGACAAATCGATGTATTATATATTCATCCATATGATTGAGGCAGCTAGTCTTATAGCTACTTATATGGGGACATTAGGGATATAGTATAAGTGCTCATTAGAGAATGAGTTTACTAGATGATCCGCTTACGAAATATTTGATGATTAACGATATCTTATCGTTAGATAGTGATTTCATAATCATAGTTGTGTATCTGGTCCTTAGACTTGAGATACCAATGATGCTTTGTTTTGAGTGCTTCGTTCTTTTATATTAGACTTATAAGTTTAGAAATTCCAAACCTAATGCAAATTGTTAGTGGGAACATCAGCCAACCTTACAAAGGCAATTAGATATCAATAGAGTATCTTTCACTCTCGGTATCATGAGAGGAATATCCCGTATACTCTCACTTAAGAAAATCCCTGACCAGAATTAATCGGATCGTGATGAATCCGAGAAGCGTAAGATTTGGATCGAGAGAAGGAATTCTTCGGGAGAATCCAATTAGAGTGAGACTTGGATAATAATTCATTGAGTTGGAAGGAGTTCTGACAAGTATAACTTGTATTAGGCCTAGAGGGTTATATATATATAGTGGACAACGCGACGAATATAGGATTGGATATGATATATCCAATAAGCCTATGTTTTATTGGATCCATTGAGTGAGGCCCAATAGGGCTTCGAGTGATTATTGGATGAGGATCCAATATCCATTAAGCTAAGATAATTGGATAGAGATCCAATACCCATTAAAACATGATCCATTAGGGTAAGTAAAGAGGACTCTCTATATATAAAAGTTCGAGCTTAAGGGATGATAGGCTAGACTTATATTGCCGCCACCTCCTTCAAGAGGATAGCAAGAGGGGACAATAAGAGGGATCGATCCCTCCTTGGTTGCTGCGGTGTGGTGGTACACGAACGCGAGGAAAGAACGTGAGGTGTGTCGTCATCGATCCGTGAACTAAGACATGTAGATTTGCGGATATATCGCTTTTGAGATTTTTTTTGCTCTCGATCTTCGTACGATGATTCAATAAATCTATTTTAAAAAATTAATTTCTGTTATTTTTTATTTTCCGCTGCGTGGTTTTTTCCCTTATGCTCTATGTGGTTTCCTAACATTTTCTATTAGAAGGAACAAAGCCTTTGATTTAAAATTTTTATTTTGTTTTTCTAATGAGTTGTGATTCACGGGTTACAATATCGTTTGGTACGTTTCCGTTCGGATTTGGTGGATGTACCATGTGATTTACCTATTTCCATATATAACATGTTCTTCTATTAATTCCACCACCAGCAGCAAAGTCATGAAGCAAAATAATAAGCATACCCATTCCATAGAGAAGAGCTGATACCACAAAGAGATCTAATATATATCAAAGGCAGAGATACAAATACAAAGAAACAAACACTAACTGCAGTTACAAATAAGAGGCAGGCAATGTTGATCTATAATTTACCAGTCCTTTTCGACATGGTTACTGATTTCAGATGGTGGATGTGTGATCTAAGAGGCTTAAGGAGATTCGTTTCCTGGCAAACCATCTTCATCAAGGTACATGCTTTCTGCCATCTGCCATATCTGAAGTATGTTGTCTTCGGCAACACTGGCAATGACCCAATCCTCACTGGGATTCCAAGAGAAATCTGGTATCTTGCTTGTGTGGCCACCATGGATGAACAGCAATGATGCTGGGCCTTCATCTGCATCTTCTGGTGTTTGTTCGTCGTTGTACCTGTTTGTATATTACAACACTCACAATTTAGTCGAACATCATAAGAGAAGACTTAAATTAGCATACAAGTATCTGATGGATGTGATATCATTAACTAGTTTTAAGCATTTTGAGTCGCATGATTCTAAACCTATCGAGTTAATAGGTTGATTATTTCATCAGACAAAACTATTCAAAGCAAGCGTATCACATGACAGTGAATTCAACATAACATGATGCCACAAGTATACAAAAGCAAAAGGAATTTTAAAGTAACTGTTTATTCTATGTTGTACTTGTCCCGATAGTTTGCAGATGTCAGATAATTGCCAGGAGCCTTGGAAATGCTTTTATTTCTGTATGAAACTTATTTTAAGCTATGGACTATAAAAATAATTGTCATGAGATAGATATTCGACTTGCAAGGCAGATGTCAAGCATGACAACATAAAGAGAGTTGAAAAGGCTATAGAGAAATGCTTCAGTGTTGAAGAAAAAAGTAAATCAAATCCTACTTTATTCAGTGATTGAAAAAGGCGCTCGAGCGCTCGCCTAGGCGCTCGGGCGAGGCGAGGCGAGGCCCGAGCGCCTCGCTAATCTCCCAGGCGACGCGCTTCAAACAGGCGCCGCCTAGGCGCTCGCCCGAGCCCAGGCGCTGAGCGCTTCGGGCGAGCGCCTGGGTAAACCAAGGCGACCGAACTAGGATTTTAGGTCTGGTTCGGTCCTGGTTCGGTTGGTTAGTTGGTTCAATCGAACCAACAAAACCGATATAACCCTTACCCAACCCTAACCCGCTGCCGCTGCCACTCCCGATCCCGATCCCGATCCCGATCTCGCTGCTCGCCGCTGCTCGCAAACGCTGCCTCTGTCGCCACTCGCGCCTCCCGCTGCTCATCGCTCCTGCTCCCGCTGCCGTTGTCGCTGCTCGCAAACGCTGCCTCTGTCGCCGCTCGCGCCTCCCGCTGCTCGTTGCTCCTGCTCCCGCTGTCGCTGTCGCCGCTCGCGCCTCCCGCTCCCTTTCCCACTGCCGCCGCTACTGCCGCTACCGTTGCTCGCCGCTGCTTCCTTGTTTCTCAATCAGCAGGCTCAATATACAGTATACTGTTAATATTAAGTTTATTTGAAATGATTAATTTTCAATACTGTTAATAGGTTTTCTTAATTTAATAGCATATTTTATTTAAAATTTTAAATAATTATATTTATTAATTATATTATATATTTTTATATTTTAGCGTCTCGCTTCGCTCGGGCAAGCGCCTGGCGCCTCGAGCGTTTTTGGATCTTGGCGTCTTTTGGCACCTAGCGCTTTTTAAATCACTGACTTTATTACATCACTGCAATTTTAAAGATATTAAATACCAAGGATAAATTCTGAATTCAGTTGAATCACATACATCACCTCTACAAACAGAGAGGCTCGGAAACACCTTGACACCCAGTTCAAACAAGAGCAACTTTACCCTAGTCCAAAAGCTTCTCTTCAATCATACATGATACTTGTAGTGTTTTGTTAAAGCTTAAATACTAATTATTAGATTTCACTACTACAAGGGCTTCTTATATGACATGAAATCTGATCTTTACTATTTTGAGCTCAATTAAGACTGTATCAACTCAATGACTCAGGGGACATTGACTGAGAAATATGATTGCTTGCACATTTTTGGATCTGAAGCCTCCATTGTTTAGAGTAAAAGATTGATCCAACTCCGGCAGCACCTCCTCATCATGCAATGCACATGAAATATGTGAAACAGAAACTCATCATCCATATGAACTCAAGATTTTGCCAAACTGCTGAGTGCTGAGAAGGCTTGGGCTGGCTATTGCTGGTTATTACCACCTTGGTTTCTTTATCTTTCCCTCTTTTTCTTATAAATGAGTTATGAGGCACTGTAGCTTTACTCCAAAAACTAAAATAAAAAATGACTGTCCCTAATTAAAATGATAGCACCGAGCCACATATTTAACATAACCTATCAAACAAAAGAAAAGAATAACTCCAATCTAGAAATTTAATACACCATTGATTTATTAATTAAATTTCAGTTAATCCATTAATGCATTGAAGTTTTACAACATTACTTTCCATAAAAACTAGATATTTATGAGAATGATCAAGGGGCCACATGAGCATAACCATCTAATAATGCTACAGAACTTTATGCTCCATTGATTAAGGCCAGCAAACAAGGGAAATCATTAGCAAATTAAACAACCAAAAAATACATCATAACTGCACAAACAAAAGATTCAGTCAAATTGTACAAGGTGAACATTTATCAAGGCCTTCAAAGAATACCTGCTAAGATCCCACACCATGAGCCTCCTACCAATACAAGAAGATGCAAGAATAGTCTCGTTTTTTGTACTCCAACCAACTTGGAAAACTTGCTCTCTAGTCATAATACAACAATGTGAACAACAGTTTAAGATTTCAAGTTTTAACAAGTAGAAGAACTGATTTAAATAATAACACAGTAAAAGGTGGCTTACTTGTGCCAGTCCAATGTGTATACAGCATTTTCAAGTTTACGAAGGTCAAATAACTTGACAGTTTTATCAGCAGAGCCTGTTGCCACGACCCATTCATTGAAGGGGTTGAATGCCAAGCAGGTAACCTGCCACAGGACCATGCTTTAAAAGTCAGTCCTCGATTCTTGTGGCTTGCAAGACCAACTAATTTAATAACTATGAAATAGATAACAACTGATCTGAGGTAAGAATGTGAAAGTTGAAACTGTAATTCTAATTCA